TTTATTGCTCAAAAATGCAGGTATTCGTACTGTAAGCGGGCTTGCCTCTCCACAGATGTGACCTGTAACTTCGGCCTGGCAGGGACTCACATTTTGATCTTAATAGAGACCAAACCAGACCAAGTTACAGGTCAGATCTGTGGAGAGGTGACCCCACGCACAGTCGGAATGCCTGTTTTTTAGGTATTTTTGAGCAATAAAACCACCTGTAATTGAATAAAAGTAAGGCAGACATTTCTTATTCCTAACTTTCTTATTTCTTTATTTGTAAAGGGACAGCACATATTAATGAACATTTAAAATATGTAAAGATTATAGCCAGCGTGCATCATTTCTATCTTCAATCCCTCGGCAGGTTGATGTAAAATTATCTACAGGACAGGGAAAAGTACAACAACAATCACACAAAACTACATAACAACGGCACACTCACTGAGTCCTGCACGGGTCCATTTTTGGAGACCCGCACCTGCCCACACCCACACAGTCGTGGCGTAGTCTTGGTTTACTCCTGGTTTAGTCTTGACCTGCCCGTGTGTAATTACTGCCCTGTAATTCCGTAACGTTAAAACAATGCCCGTTTCAACAACTATTTGCCGGTCGCCCGTACATGCGATTTATTCATGTTCTGTTCATTTGAAGTTCAAAGTCAAGAGTTAAACCAACAACCCCTCAATATATATATAAAAAAAATGCTAAAATGAGCTGCACCGTGTTCCATGTTTGACCTGCTCGATAAGCCAAAGCACTTTTCCTAAACGGCACAGAGCAGTCACCTCTAGAGCTGCTTTTGTTGTCCGATTTCAATTTCTTTTCACAAATTCCATTAGAGGAGATGGAGCTAGATTATTAAAAACTTTGTATACGAAAATTTAATCTGAATATTTGATTGCGTTGTCCAAATTATGTCATATCCATAGAAACAAGCAGGTGACGAACCCCAAACTAAAAAGTAAAACTGTGCACCTTTAACAAAATGTAACACAAATTGGATACAAGAATATGTGCTTCTACCCCACGGAGCGTCTTCAAAAAGTGAAAAATAAAATCTCGAGAAGATGGCGATGGCCTTGCGCAGGGAATTGAGGGATTTGGGGGCTTTAAGGCAACAAAGGCAACTGAAGACAAACATAATACGAGACTTTGGGAGACGAGGAACAGGGGGAGAAAAAACAGACAGATAATGGATAGAGAGAGGGAGTCCTGGAGGAGAGACTGTGGAAGAGTTTAGTGGCTCTGAGCGCTTTAGTCGTACAGTAATGGAAAAAACATAGGCCCCACTATAAAATGGCACTGTATCAAGGATTCTTCAAAAACAAATGTGAGACTTTGCAGCTGATGTGTGAAGCTAACTGTAGGCACTGCTCTGTCTGAAGCTCTGTTACTCAAGTTTAATCTGATCTTTTTTTGTTTGTTTTTTTACCATGATGAATTACAACAGGTGAGAAAACCAGTTCTTCCAGTTCCAGATTAAACCAGTTCTAAACCAGGTCCAAACTAGTTCTAAACCAGATCTTAAGTAGGACTAAACCAAGTCTAATAATGGTCTAAAAGAGGTCTAAACCAGGTCAAAAACAGATCTTAACTTGGTCTAAACCAGCTCTAAACCTGGTCTAAAAGTGGTCTAAACCAGGTCTAAACCAGGTCTAAACTAGGTCTAAACCAGGTCTTAACTTGGTCTAAACCAGCTCTAAACCTGGTCTAAAAGTGGTCTAAACCAGGTCTAAACCAGGTCAAAAACAGATCTTAACTTGGTCTAAACCAGCTCTAAACCAGGTCTAAAAGTGGTCTAAACCAGGTCTAAACCAGGTCTAAACCAGGTCTAAACCAGGTCTAAACCAGGTCTAAACCAGGTCTAAACCAGATCTTAACTTGGTCTAAACCAGCTCTAAACCTGGTCTAAAAGTGGTCTAAACCAGGTCTAAACCAGGTCTAAACCAGGTCTAAACTAGGTCTAAACCAGATCTTAACTAGGTCTAAACCAGGTCTAAACAAGGACTAAACCACGTCGAAATCAGCTGTTTATTAAGTTTAAACTCAGAACTAAACCAGATCTGAAACAAGATTTTAGGAAGTTATAAGACATGCCAAAATCGGAACCTAAACCAGGACAACACTAGCATCTAAACCAGGACCAAACCAGGATCTAAACCAGTTCTGTACCAAGTCTAAACCAAGATCTTAGCTAGTTCTAGACCAGGTAAAAATCAGAACCCAAACCACGACTAAACCAAGGCCCAACCCAGTTCAAAACCAGATCTTAACCAGGTCTAAACCAGGTCCAAACCAGTTCTAAAACAGGTCTAAACCAGGTCTAAACTGGGGCTAAACCAGGTCTAAACCAGGTCTAAACTGGGGCTAAACCAGGTCTAAACTAGGTCTAAACCAGGTCTAAACCAGGTCTAAACCGGGGCTAAACTGGGCTAAACTGGGGCTAAACCAGGTCTAAACCAGGTCTAAACCAGGTCTAAACCAGGACTAAACCACGTTGAAATCAGCTGTTTATTAGGTTTAAACTCAGATCTATGAGGCATGTTAAAACCGGAAACTAAACCAGGACAACACGAGCATCTAAGCCAGGACCAAATCAGGACCTAAACCAGTTCTATACCAAGTTTAAACAAAGATCTTAGCCAGTTCTAGACCAGGTAAAAAACAGAACCTAAACCACGACTAAACCAAGACCCAACCCAGGTCAAAACAGAAACTAAACCAGTTCTAAACCAGCTCTAAACCAGCTCTAAACCAGCTCTAATCCAGGTCTAACCCAGATCTTAACTAGGTTTAAACCAGCTCTAAGCCTGGTCTAAAACAGGTCTAAACCACGGCGAAATCAGTCAACTGTTTATTAGTTGAAACTAGGATCTAAAACAGAACTAAACCAGGTTTGAAACAAGATTTTAGGAAGTTATCAGTCATGCCAAAACTGGAGCCTAAACCAGGACCAAACCAGGATCTAAACCAGTTCTGTACCAAGTCTAAACAAAGGTCTTAGCCAGTTCTAGACCAGGTAAAAACCAGAACCTAAACCAAGACAAAACCAGGGCCCAACCCAGGTTAAAATAGGATCTAAACCAGGTCTGGACCATGACATAAATCGGTACAAAGAAAAAGTCTAAACCTGTCAGTTCTAAACCAAATCTTCAAACTACAAACAAGGTCTAACTCAGGTCTATAACATGTCTTAACAGAGATCTTAACCAGGACCTGGAAAAACGCCTTGGCCTTGTATTTGTTATGGTATTTCCAGAGGTGTGTGGGTTTGACAATGGCACAAAGGAAAATACATAAAAATAGCACCTGGATTTTGCATTATGTAGAAATGAATCAACTTCTCAACTTCCTACAAAGACCACGGACGGATTTTCAGACAAAAACTGGTGACAAGCCTAAGGAACCGGAAGACTTTAGTGTTGTGTAGACTTATTGTTCATTTTCTTTTCCTGCTTAGAAAGAAAAAGAAAACAAAAACCAGGAAAGCCCAGTCTACGGCCCTCGGCGGAGCAGTGGACACCGGCATGACTGTTTGGGGAGTTGGTGTTAATGGAGAGATAAAAATAGACTTATTGTAGCAGAAACCAGGGGTAAAATAAGGTGGTTTGACTAAGGTTAAGGTAAGGTTAACTGGACTACGATAGCATTATTTTGGCGAGTTTGTGATCAGTGGAGAATGGAAGTTGGTTAATGTGACACTATTTTGATTAGATGCAAATTAAGAAGTACATTTGATTAATAATACGAATGCAGTGCAATTTTAAATGGCCATGTTTTTCATTCATACTCTTCTCTCTAATTTATGTAATTAATGTCTCTTTCTCTTTTTAAATTTAATTATGATGATTATTTGTGTTTTGATTTGTTTTTATTGTGATTTTAATGTATTTCTTAGTCCGTAAAGCACTTTGAATTACTTTGTGTACGAATTGTGCCATACAAATAAACTTGCCTTGCCTACTTTACTGTGAAAATATTTATAATAATGATAACCATAATTCTCACAATATTTATAAGTTCACAATCTCACGAAGCAGCTTTGAGGTCAGATCAACTATTGTGGGTTAAGACGTATTTAGTTCTAGGATAATATTGTGTTAGGTTAGTAGGTTAATTGTGAATAAAGCATATTTTATCATTCATATTTTACATTTTTTCCTGTCATAATTCATATTTTTCCGTCATATCGTGGTGATTTCTGAACATTCCAGCTGAACATAAGTCATATTTTTAAGGATCGCCAAAGAAAATGTATGTCTGCCAACTGGACAAACGATTTTAGAGATTTTAAAAGTGAAAAGCTTCTTCAGTTCTGACAGGGTTCTATAAAACACTGCCTTATATCTATCTGTCTGAAGGGTTTCCCCGGGTTTGACTACCCCAAGACTTTTCTAAGACCTTTTCAAGACCAATTAAATGAAAATTAAGACCAACATCGCACCCATTATGCGGACGAAAAACACCAGATCCAATTCTAATAATGACCAACCAACTACGGTACTATATCTAGAATCTAAGAGCCACTGTGGATAAAATTTACACTTCCCCATGATCCGTCCAATGTCATCCTCCTCTGTACTGATTGGTTTACTCATTGCCACCGGAGCCAGAAACTAAAGTATTGTTTGCGCATACTCCAAATTTGACATTCATTCACATTATGCGATTTCACGTTGTTGTTGTTTTTTTTCCTCCCTCCACTGAACATTGCATTACAGCCTGTTTGAGTATACAAAAAACAGGCTAATGAAATTTAAGACCTTTGTGAAAGAAATAAGGCTTGGACAACATAATTTAAGACTTTTTAAGACTTTTAAGACCCCGCGGCTACCCTGTTCTGAAGGGCGGACCTAACAAAATAAACTAAATATACATACCCTTGTTGTTTACACGAAGGACTATCTGCCATTAAAACATTGATCCAGTTAAATTTAAATTTGTTTTGCGATGTAACCGACCTGCTGAACTATTCCACATGTATTCTTTATAAATGGGGATATACTTACTGGTAGTGGACCCAGGACGGACCGAGCGTCTTCTTAAACTGAGTGAGTCCCACTATGTCGATGTAGATCAGCTCCACGATTTTGTCTCCTTGCGTGGGGCAGCTGGACTTGTTCCCCATCACCTTGCGCATGATCCTGTACAAAAATATATGTATTAAGAAATTAGAATTAGATACATGAAAAAATACTGCGCAAATCAAATTAGTAACCTGATTTGTAGAGAGATTTATATAACACTGAAAGGAATCTGTGTATTATTCGTTCATTCATTTTTCAATATAAAACCAAAAATAAGAAAACGAAAAAAAACAAAACTATTTTCTTCATTATTTGTCTCCAAAACCAAAATGAAAAAACTGATTAGTTTTTCCAGTTTCCAATTTTGTTTTTAAATGAATAATGGAAAAAATGAATAACAACCGTTTCCCGTTTCTGTGACTCAAACTGTGATGCCGGACTGAACCAGGACTGAACCAGGACTGAACCAGGACTGAACCAGGACTGAACCGTTTTCAGTCCTGGTCTGGTCCCAGTCTCAGTCCCAGTCTCGGACCTGATCTCAGTTCTAGTCTCAGTTCTGGTCTGGTCCCGATCTCAGTCTCGGTCTCAGTCCCAGTCTCAATCATAGTCTGGTCCCGGCCTCAGTCCTCGTCTCAGTTCCGGTCTGGTCCCAGTCTCAATCCCAGTCTCAGGCCCAATCTCAGTTCTGGTCTGGTCCCAGTCTCAGTTCCGGTCTTAGTCCTGGTCTCAGTCCTGGTTTAGTCCTGGTTGAGTCCGGCATTACAGTTCAAGTAATGGAAACGGGAAACAGCCATTATCTGGTTTAACACTGCTCTAGTTCTGGTCTAGTTCTGGTCTAGTCCTCGCCCAGTCCTCGTCCAGTCCTCGCCCAGTCCTCGTCCAGTCCTCGCCCAGTCCTCGTCCAGTCCTCGCCCAGTCCTCGCCCAGTCCTCGTCCAGTCCTCGTCCAGTCCTCGTCCAGTCCTCGCTCAGTCCTCGTCCAGTCCTCGTCCAGTCCTCGTCCAGGTCTACTCCTCTAATATTAAGTCTGATTGGTTATTCATTTTTACATGTAGCTTTATGTAAACCTTTCTGAAATCTTTTATTGTACTTTTTTTTGTTTTATTGCATGTTATGGTTTGAGGGTTTTGTACAGTGACAAAGAAAATATATTATTATTTTTATTATTGCTTAGGTAGAGATGAAATACTGACTCTTTGAGCTCTGCGATGGAGGCGGAGATGCGCACGTCATGGCCCAGCAGATACAGGGTGGTGATGAGGTCGCTCCACTGCACCAGCTCACCCAGAGGACCCCCGCTGAAGGCGTTCTCCGCAATCTTAAACCCAGACTCTTTGGTCAGGAGCCCCAAGTGAACCAGGACCTGGAAGAGAGAAGAAAAAAGTTCAAAATATTAAGAAATATAAGGATTACGCAAGTCACTGATGTAGTAAGTTTGAGTAATTACAATGGATTTCAATAGTGAACGCCCAATCCTTGGTTTCTGGAACTAAATTTCACGTCAATTTTTCGAATCGACTTTGTAACTAATGACCACATGATCTATCGTTTTATTTATTTAAAGCTGCATTGTGTAACTTTTCTGGCGGAGGGTCCATCAAATGCTTTTCTACATGGAGATGTTACGGCTTTTTCTGAAATGTTAGAAATGTGAAATACTGTCAATCTTCATGGAAACCTTTAAGAAGTAGTTTAAGAAGTATGTGAGCTGTAATACAAGTACTCTATACTTGTAAACTTGACTATACAACTTTTCTAGGTGGGTGGGCTGCTTATCTCCATGGAAACGTTATTGCTTTGCCTGGAATATTTCACTATATAACATAAATACTACATAAAAAACGATTAATAAAGTATTTTAATTGTTCAAAAATGCCTGTATTGTCGTGTAACTTTTCTGGTGGAGGGTCCGTCAAATGCTTTTTTTTCCCTGTGGAGACGTTATTGCTTTATCTGGAATATTTCAAAGTATGACATTAAAGCTTTCTATCTTCATGGAGACCAAACCAGGCCAAGTTACAGGTCAGATCAGTGGAGAGGCGACCCCGCTCACAGTCAGAATCCCTGTTTTTGTAGGTATTTTTGAGCTATAAAACCATTATGTAATTGAATAAATGTAAGGCAGAGCTGTTTAATGTCACACTGTGGAACATTCCAGGCAGAGTAATGACGCATCCATAGAAACAAGCAGATGACGGATCACCAACAAAAAAGATACATAGTGCTCCTTTAAAGTAGTGTTTTGCCCAGTGATACAAAGGCAATAAAACATGAAACAACAACAACTCTCTGGACACAAAGTAATATTCAGTTTTTAAATTTAGCCCTTTTCTTTTGCAACTGTTGCTTTTCCTCCAGACTCGGGAGTCACAGACTGAGTCATTGTGCAATGTGAAACATTATAAAAGTACCTAAAATCTAATAACTATGAAACTATGTGCAAGGACGTACAAACACAGCAAAACATTTGAAGCAGTGGTGGACCGTAACAAAGTAAAAGTAGTAAAGTGGTGTACTTAAAGGTGCACTATGTAACTTTTTAGGGTCCCTTATCTGCTTATTTCTGTGGAGAAGTCATTGCTCTGCCTGGAATGTTCCACAGTGTGATATTAAACTCTACTTTACATTCATTCAATTACATATGGTTTTCTTGCTCAAAAATACCTAGAAATACAAACATTCTGACTGTGAGCAGGTGTCGCCTCTTCACAGATCTAACTTGTAACATGGTCTGGTTTGGTCTCCATGAAAATAGAAAGGTTTAATGTCACACTGTGAGACATTCCAGTCAAAGCAATAACGTCTCCATGGAGAAAAGCAAGTGACAGATCCTCCATCAGAAAAGTTACACAATGCACCTTTAGGTAAAACTTAAGTAGATTTTAAAGTGTATAAGCAGGTATCTGTACTTTTTACTCAACTACATTTCTGAAAAAGACTGAAAAGTTAAAGTATTGTTATTATAGTTTGAGATCTGCTGAAAAGTCCGAGGGCTTTAAAAATGTACAAAAAATGTAATTGTTTCTACTGAACAAAATTCAGCCCAACTCTGTTTAAAAACACATTTGAAGCTTCATTAGGCCTGAAGATCTGTGTAAAATACTTTTACTTTTTACTCTTTAAGTACATATTTAAACTGGTACTTTAATACTTTGATAAGCCAAATATCGGAATGGATACAAAGGAAAAAAATAATTAGGAGTTATTATTGATGAAAGTCTAAACTGGAGGTCTCGTATAAATTACACTAAAGGCAAAATTTCCAGAGCAGTTGCTGTGCTGCATAGGGTAAAGTTCTCACTAAACAGTGCAGTATTATTAACCTTGTATGACTCTGTAATTGCACCATATCTGATGGACTGTGTAGAAAGTTTAAAGTCAACATGCAAAACTTACCTACAGCCATTATTTATTTTACAAAAAAGGACCTGAAAATTATCAGGGACAGTCATTGTAGAGAGCCAACCCAATATTTGTTCAACTTAAAGTGTTGAAAATGCAGGATATTGTTGACTTAAGTCTCCTCAAAGTCACATATAAAGCAAAGTGCCATGTGTTACCTGTAAATATTCAGTATACTGATTGATTCATTCATTTATTTGTTTGAGCCAGGTACAACAAAATTCAAAAATAATAACAAAAATAGTGATATTTACTTGAACATATTTGGGACCTGGTGCTCAAAAGAAACTTAGGCTACGTTCAGACTGCAGGGCTTAAGGCTCAATTCGGATTTTTTTGTGAAATCCGATGTTTTTGCGAGGTCGTTCACATTTCCAATTAAATGCGACTTGTATGTGATCTTCAGTGTGAACATTAAACGGCCGAAAAGCGTCCTGCATGTGCACTGGAGACACAACGATGTCAACCGCAGCGAGTGTGTTCTGTGTTTATGGAAGTTGTCCAAACATGGACGCGAGCATTGAGCACCTGGAGATTTTAAAGTTCCTCTCGTACCGGAGCCAGAATGTGAACAGCTTACTTGTTTTAAAGAGGAGATTGAGAAGGAGAAGGACGAGGTTTTTGGTCGTGGTGTTTTGTGGGACAGCGGCAGCGACGTCCGTTGAAAGGAACGTGTGGATGCGGAGACGGAGCCAAGAGTGGTGAGTGGTGATGTGCTTCGCTTCAGTGACACGGAATTCATTAAGAATTTTCACCTACTTCAGCGCAGAATAGTGACGTTTGTGGCTTGTTGATAACGTGTAGGTTGGATGAATGCGCTTTGGCCGTTCAGACTGAAGTCGCATGTCAAAATATTGGATATGTATCAGTTTCAGGAGCACATATCAAAGTGGCCTGGGTCGCATTTGAAAAAATCAGATCTGTGTCGTTCAGACTGTCATTAAAAGATCAGATACAGGTCACAGAGCGGCCAAAAAATCTGATTTGGGTCACTTCAGGCTGCAGTCTGAACACAGCCTTATACTTGTTTTTATGGATAGGCCATTGCTCTGCTTCAAATGTTCCACAGTATGACATTAAACAGCTCTACCTTACATTTATTCAATTCAATATGCAATAACACATCCACGGAGTCAAGAAAGTGACAGACCCACCACCATAAAAGTTACACAATGCAGCTTTAAATTAAAAAGAGACACGCAGATACAAGCTGCTCCGCTCATTTCCTTTGCATTGTCGCGTCTTGAATTATTCACAAACATACCAGAAAGCGGTGGGCCATTATTCACGGGGAAGCTGCTGCATCCCGCCACAAAATAACACAAGATCTATGCAACATTTGTCCCACTGGGGCTTCCGTACCTCCGCTTGGAAGACGCCCAAATGTGATTAGAGTGACAAAAGCCCTTTATCATTTATCTATAAAGACTTTAAGTGTTCGGTTTTCTCTCAGTATTTGATGGTTATGGTTCTTATTACCTTGGCTGGCGTTCAGTATGAGGCTATATAAAGTAAAATAATATATGCGAAATCTAAAGTTTTGTTGCTAATAATAAAAGTCTCCAGATGATTTGATGGCGCAGTTAAGATTTCGCATTAAGGGGCTAGTATCGCAAAATATAGTGTTTTTACGACGGTAAGATTAAACTCTATTTTAATACTAGGGAAATGGCGGTAATTGAATAAATGTAAAGTCGAGCTGTTTATTGTCATACTGTGGAACATTCAGGCAGAGCAATGATTTATCCATAGAAACAAACAGGTGACGAAACACTATTTTAAAGATCCTATATTACGCAAATTGACTCTAAATTGATGCAAACTTGTTATAATGCTGTTACCTCCTCAAATGAATGAAACAAAACACAAATCCAAGTCTGTTTGTGATAAGGAACCAACATAATAGATCAGAAAATAACAATATATGGGCCTAAGGCTGAACGATCAATCATTTTGGACCGAAAATCGCAATCTCAGACAACATGATTTTGAAAGTGTCAAAGCTGCGTTTTTCTGTAGTGCTCCTAAAGCCTAATTTATGGATTTATGGATCTGCATCGAGGTTTATGCACCGCGAAGTAATTCACCACCACAACGTGAGGAGGCGAGGATTTAAACCTGGTGTTTGTTTAAAGTTTAACATGAAAAGTCTCTGACACCTAGTGCCTCTGCTCAATTTCATTTCTCTCCAGTGACTAGGTCAGGAATCAGAATACACTAAACAGTTTGCAAAAGCCGCGGAAGTGCGAGTTCGGGCACCAGCCAATCAGCAAAGAGCCAAACATTCTGTGTTGGCAACTATTCCTGAGATCAAGGATTTAAAGCCGGAGAATGAAAGAGAATGTTCAGTGAATTTTATCAAGGGGAAAGACATTATTGCCCTTCTTTCTACGGGATTTGGGAAAAGCTTAATATACCAAATTACAACCAAATAGCAGCGATTAGTTAAATGAACAAAGAACCCGTCTTCCATCGAGCGAACGAATCCTAACACTGCGAGGTCAGATGGTTTCTACGAACTGAAACCGGCTGATGAATCACGCTACTCCAACACAACAGACGCACAGAACAGACTCACCATCAGCAGCACATCCTCTGTCACAGAAAGAACACTCATATTTAACTGAGTCGTGTCCTTTAGTCCGACAGAAGCTGAGTGCATGAGGAGCGAGCTGTTTTTTCCAGCGCTTATAGTTTATGCAAATTAGCCATGTGGTTTTAAGTTTAGTTTCTGTAAAACATAAACAAATGTGTGCAAAGCTGCATTAAACACATTATTACTCAATGTATACTGAAAGAAAGGAAAGTGGAGTACAGGAAATGTATGTAAAGCGGCAGCAGAGAGGACCAATCACAGCCCTTATTGTCTGTGTCACTTCCCCTGCTGTCTACATCGTTTTGACGCGTAGTTAGAAAATTTCGGAGGTGCACATTGGTCGATACAGACGGTCTGTATAAGGGGTCATGTCGAAACAGACTCTCTGTATTGTGAGGCAGACGATTAGACGTTGTGCTTTAAGATCTAGCGTCAAATCATCAGTGCGGGACTCTGGTATGATATAAGTTTCTATCATGTTTGCAAATGTTCATGTGCACTGAAACTTAATTTGAAAAAAAATCGTGGATAAAGTCGAAATCTCAATATCTGCCAGAAAAATCGCAATTCAATTTTTTCTTAAAATCGTTCAGCCTTATATGGGCCCTTTAACTTTACCATGTTGTCTTATAGTGGCTCAGATTTAGATCAAACCTATATTAAAATCAATCCGAAAAGGCCCAGTTTGAGCTTATTAATATGATTTTATTCAGTACTAATAAACAACATGGCTTAAAGAATCGATCGTGTGTAATACAGGACCTTTAACTTCCTGTGTCATTGTTGTATGTTGCTTGTGTTGTGTGTATTTGTTGTAAACAGCGGTGGCAGTTTACTATAAATCTGAAAACACTCCCTGCTCCTTCATGTGTGTGTTTGTGTTCCACGGATCATGCTCACTGAGCCGTCCAGTCCAAATATCAGACAAATGCCAAAGGGTTTAAGTGGGTTAACGCGGAGCCCACTGCCCCCACACACTGGACAAATGAACATGTGTGGGATTATTGCCCACAGGGATGGAACTACACAAAACTAAACTATATTTATATATTTAATCATTTATAATACACATTTTATAGATAACTAAAACTAGTATTGGAATTAGAAACTCATCTGAACAAGTATAGTCCTGGTCTAATCCTGGACTAGTCTTGGTTTAGTCCTCATCAACTCTCCTGATCTAGTCCTGGTCTAGCCCTGGTCTATACTCCTAGCCCAGTCCTAGTCTAGTCCTCTTCTAGTTTTGGTTTAGTCCTGATCTTTTGTCCTGATCTACAGTCCTGGTCTGTTGTCCTGATCTATAGTCCTGGTGTAGTCCTGGTCAAATCCTGGTCTAGGTCCTGATTTAGTCCTGGTTTAGTCCTGGTCTAGTCCTCTTCTCATCTTGGTTGAGTCCTGATCTATAGTCCCTCTCCAGTCCTGATCTATAGTCCTCATCCAATCCTACTCTAATCCTCTTCTAGTCTTGGTTTAGACCTGATCTATTGTCCTGATCTATAGTCCTTGTCTAGGTCCTTGGCAAGGTCCTGGTCTAGGTCCTGGTGTAGTCCTGGTCTAGTCCTGGTCTAGTCCTCTTCTCATCTTGGTTTAGTCTTGGTTTAGTCTTGGTTTAGTCTTGGTTTAGTCTTGGTTTAGTCTTGGTTTAGTCTTGGTTTAGTCCTGATCTATAGTGCTGGTTTATAGTCTTTGTCTTGGTCTAGTCCTGATATAGTACGAGCCAAAAAGTCAGTACTGAAAAATCCAAAATTGATCCTTTAGACCTCGATCTTTAGCTGAAGAGACCACATGGTAATATTACTGAATAATGAGCATTTTCTCAATATTGAAGCTGACTTTTCACATTTTGTGCAGTGTCAGGTTTTCACAATTTTCTAACAATAAGTTGGTCTGGCGACATGGCACCTGTGGTTAATATTTATCACAGTTTTACATCAGATAAGAGGCAGCTTGAGGAAATAAACTTGAGAGGAAGTACAAAAATACAGGAAGTAGAACTTATATCATCAACACGAAACTCCCTCCAGAATTCAGGGCCATCTGTGTATGTCATATCTGCTGCAAGTGTGTGCGTTGTGTCACCATGGTAACCGCCAGCAGAAATCCACGTAGAGTGTGAGTAGTACCCACCTTCTTGCGTCGCCTCTTGGTCAGGTTCTGTTTGTGGGCCAGAGAGCGGATGGCGCTGACCCAGGGTTCAGCCATTCGTTTGATCCTCAGCATCATCCAGCGAAACTCCTCCCTCTGCGACATGACGCGGTACAGCTCGTCGAAACTCGTACGGATCTCCGCCTACAACAGCAAAATCACAAGCTTTTAGTGAAGATACTGGATATTTTGAGTTTCTATTTAAAGGGTCTGTAGCTGATTTCAAACTGTGAGTGACGAACATGTTTCAGGTTTAATTTTTAGCCCGACTGACTTTGTCCTTTCTGCCACTGTGGTTTTGCACCATTGTTGTTTCCTTATAATTCTAAAATCTCTACCTTCTTTAAGCTCTTCTCTAAATCTTCAAAATTCAAAAATTCAAACACTGGGGGTGTAACGATATTGGCAATATCACGATATTGACGTAATAAAATTGCCACAATATCGTCGTGGTGTCGTCACGGTATTAAACTGTGTGTCTTTAGGCAAAAATAAGAATTTTCAGTCCGGTCCTGTAGCGCAGAGCACAGTAAACTACATGGACCATAATCCTTTGCGTCCTTGTCATCGACCTGTGCACCTGTTGTGAACGCACCAGCGGATTTTAAGTCTGAGGTCTAGAAGCATTTTGGGTTTGTCGTGACATGAAACAAGAAAGAAGAAAAGGTGATGGACAAACAACAGACGATATGCAAACACTGTCAATGCACCGTGCAGTTCACCTCGGGAAATACTACAACATGAGAAGTCAGCTGATAAGCCGACACACCGAAAAGTTCACAAAATCAAGTTGGGACAATAACTATACATGAAGCATTTACAACAGTGCTGCCTCACAACAGCCCTCAAGAAATAAAGTCCATCACAGAATATAAAGCGAGTGGTTTGCACCATTTTCCTCAGTGGACGGCGTTGGGTTTAAAAATATAAAATTAGTTTTTTTATTTACCACGAGGAGGACTCAGATATACACGGAGTAATGATGTGTTTAATGCAGCTTTGCACACATTTGTTTAGGTTTTACAGAAACAAAACTTAAAGCCACAAGGCTAATTTGCATAAGTTCTGTAAAAAACAACTTGCTCCTTGTGCGCTGATCCGTTCATATTCAGCTTCTGTCGGACTCCACGAGGCTCCTGACTCCAGTAGCCGTAATACTCAAACAGTCCATCAAGTGGTGTGGCTTCATAGTTACCAAAGCTGTACTAAAACATTGTTTAGTTGTTACTTGAATTTTGCACTTGAACTTCAAAGGCTTTTTAAGCTGTTGAAAATGTCCCTGATATGAATATGACAATAAATGTTTTACCAAATGACAGCTCAAAGCATTTTATAATGTCACTCTTGTTATTATTTATAACATCATAATATCATGAACCTCTCCACCATATCATGAGCTTTCCCACGATCGCATTAAATATTGTACCATGAGGTTCATACCGTGACAATATCGTAACATGAGACTTGGATATTGTTACACCCCTAAAACAAACTCAAATAAAGTGTTGGTTTACCTTTTGTTCCACACCCAAATGATTCCAGTGAAGGTGTGTGGGGTTAAAAAACACAGTGGAATCCTAAATACACAGGTTTTGTTATGGGGGTTTGATACTGTTTTAGATGTCAAGTTTTAATCGATTTTATTATCCAGATTTAACTGTTAAATATTTAGTATTAAAGTAAAAATAAAACTGTGTCTTCTTATCTTATTAAAAATACTCCAGCATTCTCCTATTAAGCATGTAGTTAAATTTCACTGTAAAACAGCATCCCTATTCTTTTTCTGTTTATCTCTGTAACATCTGGAGAGAAATACAGTAAAAAAAAAAAAAGTTATTGTACAAACAACACAAGCTTGAGATTTAACCGTGGGACATAAACATCAAAGTGCATATTGTAAATGTTTAATATGGAAACACAAACTGGAGGCTATTTGCTGCGAATACCTCGGCAACAGTGTGAATTAGACTCGAAACAAGGGCCCGCTCTATAGATTTAATAGGTGAGTGGATGTTATAGGGGAAACTGGAAACAATGACGGCATTTTGTACCAGTAGAGATTTTTGTGAGGGTGCAGAGCAGTATTATGCAGCTCTTAGAAACTGTAGCTTTGATTTTAAGCATCAAAAATAAAATCTATCAGTTTTCAAGAAGACTAAGGCTACGTTTATATGATGACGGTCTGAACAGAAGACGCAAAAGTGGCGTCGCATCTTCACTTTTTACTCCGCGTTTAGACGAGCGTTTTCGGGAGGAAATCTGCGTGCATACGGTGACGCATGCATGCCAGGTTTCTGAGTACTGTATGTATGTGACGTAAATGTGTACGCGACGTGAGCAGATCTGACCAGAGTTTTGCATCTTGGGCAGTGTAGACGGAAAAGCTACAGCGGAGCGTATTCAACTTTTCCACTCTGGAGGGTGGTTTCAGATTTTTGTGTTTTTAAAGCCCCAAAAACGCCATCACCGTCTAAACGAAAGGCACTTCCTATAAAATATTTTGTCGTTTTTACCCAAAAGCTCGTGTAAATAGGCCCAAAATCTATACAAAATCAGTTGTAAGGGTACATTTACTCCTGCAAGTATAATTGGGACTAAACCTGGAACTAAACCTGGACTTGACTAAACCAGGGATAAAACAGAACCAAACCAAGTCTACACACTGATTTAAAAGTCCTTTATTAGGAGAAATTGACTCTCGTGAGCTTTTGGCCATGTTATAATGTTGTTACCTCCTTAAAAACATACTTGGAGTTGTGTTTTGTTTCATTCACACATGTTTGATTAAACTTGGATTATTAGTCTGTCTACATCTCCAAAGGTCACAATGTTCTGTTCCACCTTGTGATGTCATGCAGCACTGGTTTTCATGTTAACCTTTTACATTTAGTTCAGTAGAGATCAGCAATTCCAGGGCTGAAATGATCCAAATGATTCTAATGAAGGTCTATGGATTTTACAAACACTGTGGAGCACTTCCTGTATTATCACCACATGACATCACAAGGTGGAACAGAGCGTTTTCAGTCTGAGAGAAGAACTCAGCCTAAATACGCAGGGTTTGTGCGTTAATTAAGCACGTGTGAATGAAACAAAACAAAAACTCCAGGTCGGTTTGTGACGAGGAAACAACACCTTTAGCGATTGTATGCAAAACTGTATGCAAAAAACGCATGGAACTAAACCCGGACTAAACCAGAACCAAGCAAAAACGGAACCAAACCGAGTCTACATCAGGACTATACCAATATCAAACCAGGACAAAAACTGACCAAAATTTGATTAATTGGTCACTGTATAAATGAGATAAAACAGAACATGGCCATACTTGAAAGACGCATTGTGTAACTTTTCTGATTAGGGGTCCATCACTTGCTTGTTTCTATGGATACGCCATTGCTCTGCCTTGAATGTTCCGCGGTATGACGTTAAACTTTAACTCTAACTTACATTTATTCAGTTACAGGTGGTTTTATAGCTCAAAAAACCTAGAAAAACAGGGATTGTCACTGTGAGTGCGTCGCCCTCTCCACAGATCTGACCCGTTACTTGTTCAGGCACCACAGTTGAGTTTAAGCGATTCAAGAGTGAATATTGCGCAGAGTGAATATAGAGCGGAGTATAAACAGCCTTTCACTGGACATGTTTGTACTTTATATAAATATTATGAATGCGCTGAACCACTGCAGAATACTGAGAAATAAAACGATTCAGATACACAAGGTCTGCAAGATTAAACACACAAAAACACGAGCTGCTCCCAAGGACGCGGCGGCGCACACGACAAGAGAGACGGAGAGAAGAGAGGGAGAAGAGAGAGGAAGAGGGGGAGAGAAGAGGGGAGAGAGGAAGAGAAGGTGAGAGGGAGATTAGGGAGGAAGGGAGAGAAGAGGGAGGGAGAGAGACAGAGGGAGAGAAGAGGGAGGGAGAGAGAAGGTAGAAGAGGGAGAAAAGAGTGAGAGAGGGAAAGAAGAGGGACGGAGAGAGGGAGAAAGAGAGAGAAGAGGAGAGAGAGGAAGAGAGGGAGAGAGGGAGAAAAGAGTGAGAGAGGGCAAGAAGAGGGGGGGAAGAGAGGGAGAAAGGGAGAGAAGAGGAGAGAGAGGAAGAGAGGGAGAAAAGAGTGAGAGAGGGCAAGAAGAGGGGGGGAGAGAGAGGGAGAGAAGAGGAGAGAGAGGAAGAGAGGGGGAGAAGAGGGAGAGAGGGCAAGAAGAGGGGGGGAGAGAGGGAGAGAAGAGGAGAGAGAGGAAGAGAGGGAGAAAAGAGTGAGAGAGGGAAAGAAGAGGGGGGAGAGAGGGAGAAAGGGAGAGAAGAGGAGAGAGAGGAAGAGAGGGGGAGAGAGGGAGAGAGGGAAAGAAGAGGGGGGCGAGAGAGGGAGAAAGGGAGAGAAGAGGAGAGAGAGGAGAGAGAGGGGGAGAAGAGAAGAGAGGGAGAAAAGAGTGAGAGAGGGCAAGAAGAGGGGGGGAGAGAGGGAGAAAGGGAGAGAAGAGGAGAGAGAGGAGAGAGGAGAGAGGGAAAGAGGGGGGGAGAGGGAGAGGAGAGAGAGGAAGAGAGGGGGAAGAGAGGGAAAGAAGAGGGGGGAGAGAGGAGAGAAGAGGAGAGAGAGGAGAGAGGGGAGAAGAGAGAGAGGGAGAAGGGAGGAGAGAGAGGGGAGAGAAGGGAGAGAAGAGGGAGAGAGAGGAGAGAGAAGGGGGAGAAGAGGAGAGAGGGCAAGAAGAGGGGGAGAGAGGGAGAAAGGGAGGAGAAGAGGAGAGAGAGAAAGAGAGGGAGAAAAGAGTGAGAGAGGGAAGAGAGAGAGAGGGAGAGGGAGAGAGAGAGAGAGAGAGAAAGAGAGAGGAGAGAAGAGGGAGAGAGAGAGAAAGAGGAGGGGGAGAAGAGGGAGAGAGGGCAAGAAGAGGGGGGAGAGAGGGAGAAAGGGAGAGAAGAGAGAGAGAGGGAGAAAGAGAGGGGGAGAGAGGGAGAAGGGCAGAAGAGGGGGGAGAGAGAGGGAGAGAGAGGGAGAGAAGAGTGAAAGAGAGGGAGGAAGAGAGAGGGAGAGAGAGAAGAGAGAAAAGGGATAGAGGGAGAAGGGAAGAGAGGGTGGGAGAGAAAGAGGGAGAGAGAGAAGGGAGTATGATAAGAGGGTAGGAGAGGGAGAGAGAGTTAGA